GGCCTCCAGGTGGGGGAAGCCAGAGGAAAACCCTAACCATGTGGGCAACCCCTGCTGGATGTCTTCACCTACAGGAGGTGGGCGGGTGCTGCAGAAGCCGCCGGGGTGCTGAGGCTGGGAAGAAATGACTGATGGATGCTGTAGGCCACTACTGGAAGGGAAATCTGCCCCTGTGGAGTAGATGCGATTGAGACCCTGGGGCAGAAGGGGTGGCATGGGAGGGGAACACGGGCCTGAGGGATGCTTAAAATCCAACCGAGAAGGCTCTCCTGAAGCCCACTGTGTGCCCACTGCATGCAACCTGTAGCTTCCGCCTCCAAACAGTGCAGGGGGAGATAAAAGGATGCAGACAAGGTTCCTGAGAGTCCAGAAAGAGGGCAGGGCAGTTTCCGGTCACCTCGAGGAGACAGATCTTTATTCCCCTCAATGGCCCTCACTGGCTCTCTACCAGACTGGCCAGCACAGGTCCCACAGTGCCACCCAACTGCACAGGGAGGTAGCTGTGCCCCTGGCTCCAGAAACCAAACAAGCAGGTCCTGGCTCTGGATTCCTGCATCTCGTGCAGCATCAAGAAGTGGCTACTCCTTGCCTGGCTAGACAGTGGAAGAGTTTTAAAAGAAAGGTTTCTCTCTGTGGATGGATTCACAAAACATGATTCAGCACAAGCAGCATAAGGAACACGGAGGTCAGGCCTGCCCATCAGGCTCTGCTTCCCTCTGCCACCTCGGCAGAGGCCCGGGCCTATACCTGCCAGACGGGATCCCTGTGGTGCTCATGGAGGCTGGGCAGTGTGCCACTCCTCTCTCCAAGAATACCGCTGCCTGGCAGGCTGCCAGGAACAGTCAAACTCCACGGACAGGCTCCTAGGAGCCCAGCCACACAGAAAGCAAAGGCATCAGCTCTCATGACGACAATAACAAGTCTGGTAAATAAGCCCCCAGATGCACAGCTGTAGCAGGGGAGGCAAGACATGCTGTGGCAGTGGTGGCACGTCCCCACAGCACACAGGCTTACTAGAGAATGTCACAAGCCTGGAGTGCTCCAGACCCTGCCAGGAGCAACGGTGGTGGCTGAACTTAATTCCCAGGAAATACGTGGTTTCATCTGACAGGCAAGATGAACATCAAAAGAAAACTGGGGAGATGGTCTGATGCCAGTAGTGGGAGGAGACTGGGGAGATGCCCAGAGGTTGTGCAGTGGGGATCTACAAGGACACTGGGTCTTGGGGCTCCGGGATGCAGTGCAGGAAGGTGAACTTAGAAAGGGAAGGAACATTCAGGGGAAAGGAAATCTATTTTGATTGAAGAAATACTCTGAGTAAGGCCAAGAATGGGGTTCTTTCTGTTCGGTGGTTACTGGCCTTTCAACCTGCTTGTTCACCTAGAGAGATTTTCTTAGGTAGTAGGCATTGGGGTAGGGCTGTGTGAAGTAGGGTGGGGTGGTGACCTTTAGCAGCCATTCTATTGTTTCCATATGGGGAAAGACCCGTCCTGTCCCCAGGGAGCCTCTCAAGTACCTGTCCATCCTGTAGTCAGGCCCCCAGTGCATCACTCCAGATCCCAGAGGGTTCTCATTTGCATTCCTTGATGTAGTTCAGGCTCTCAGGAGTGGAATGAAGTTAACCTGCCATGCTGGTTACAGTGGCCTGGACCATGAGTGAGTGCTCAGGATACAAGGCTGTGTGGGGCTGTAACCAGGGGGCAGTTCTGTCCACCAGGCTGTGCCACCTTCTTTACATGGGGAAACAGGAAACATGGTTGACGTTACCTCAAAGGGGTATACTCAGAAACCTCCCACTCACACTGTTGCTCCAGGAAGCTGGCTGACCCTTGTCTACAACTTGGGGGGAACATGAAACAGCTGAATTGATTACCCCATGTTCTATGTAGCTGGGCACTTGCCCATCCTCTGAGTAATGGTTATTTCCTCCCAACAACATCTTAAGGAGGGCAAGCCCAAGATTTTGGGAAAGATGCAGTGTGTGTGTGTGTGTGTGTGTGTGTGTGTGTGTGTGTGTTGGGGTGAGGGGCAGGAGGGGAAGGTCTGCAGGAAGAGGGTCCAAATGACCTCTTTTCTCCATAGCAGGCTTTTATTCTATGAGCTCTGGGCTCATAGTCAGTGAGCACTGAGTGCAGATTGTTTCTAAACATGTAGTGCGTTTCTGGTTTAGACTAAGCCCTCTCAGGTAGACAGAATCCAAATGCGTGGGCTGCCCAGACCCAGAGTAGAGAAGATTCTTTAATTTCTAATCCCTGGCATTGTGAGATGAGTTTGGATTTGCAAAGCCAACACAATTTCACACACTTTGTAGCATTTGCTCTACTCATACCCCCAGTTATTCTTAGAGAAAGGAGGAAATGGCTCACAGAGGTTAACTGCCAGGTTCAAGGTCAAACAGACTGAGGCAAGCAGCCAGAGGGGCCTCAGGCTCTTAACATAAGGGGCTGCATTCTGCTCCTTCAGGGCAGCTGCCTGGCACCCTGCCTGCACCCTTGACTGCAGCTCAGATCTTTAACATTAAACGACACCTCCAGACACTGATTCAGTAAGTGATAAGCATACACAGGCCAGGGAGTATCCAATCAAGAAAATCACTCTTTAAATCTTGGATGCAAAAGAAGTGACCCAGAAAAGGGGAACTAGCTGCCAAGCATGGCCCAAGGTCTCTGCTTCCAGATTTCCAGCCAGCCTGATGCTACAGCAGAGGGAGGTGTGGTTCCAGATGAGCAAGCATATTCTCAACTTTTGAAAAGGTTTAAAAACTTTGAAACCTTTGAGAAGCCTTTGAAATTATTGCAAAATTATGTATGGCGTGTCTGTCTGGAACAAGTACCAATAGCTCTCTCAGCGTATCTCAAAAAACACACAAACCAGGTGCTGTCACTGTCCTGGCAGCAAAAACTTTTTATCTGTTCTTGTTCATTGCTGCCAAGTCCTGGATAGCAACTGGCCATGGGCTCTGCATGCCCCGCCTTTCTCTACCAACTGTTACCCAAGAGACAAGCCTGGTTTGGCCCTCGAGAGACCCTAGGATTCTCATGCCTCTCAGTGATTGCTCACCCCATTTCTGCACATCACTGTCTGTATTCTAGACGAGGGGACCGGAAAGGAAATATCATTTGGGCTAAAGTCCCTTTACAGCAGCACACAGATGCAGCCTCTCCTTCCTCCAAACAGTCTCAGGCTAGAAACCAGACTCTGGCTCAGGGACATTTAGAATCTGGTGATAGGCTCCAGTCCCTACACTGCTCAGGGCCCACAGCCATTTCCTGGACAGCCCTGATCTGTATTATTTCCCAGTAGATCCCCAGGTCCCTGGCAGGCCCCCTCCTGGCTCCAGAGGCCCACAAGCCGGAGGTCAGACAGGCCCTGGGCTGGAGAGCAGGCTGTCCTGTTCTCATAGCGCAGGGACCGTCTGGCAGCCTCCTCCTGCTCCCAGCAGCCTTCCCGGTCCTGCCCACTTAGGTTTCTAAATGCCAGGAGAACCCACAGTTCTCAGGAAATGCTCCCTGCCTTCAGAACTCTCTGGGGGTCATGGGAACATAGCAGTTCTCCAAAAGTCAGGGAGAAGCCTGGCTTCCAGAGGACTCCGGACTTCTGCTTCATGAAGGCCCCAGTGACTGGCTTTGGAGAACACTGACTTTCCTCTGTTCCTTCACTGCCAGGAAGGGCTTGTCACCATCTCTCCCACCCCAATGTGTGTGTGGCGGGACATGTATCATATGATAAGTAAAACTATCTTACTGCCTGGTGTGCAAGTGGGATATGAAGGTCTGGAAAATCTATTATTCTGTTCGAAAGCAACAGAGTTTCCTGTGGCGATACGCTAGTTTCTAATCTTCCAAAGACAAAGACATACACACTGATGAAGTTATGTGGCATATAATGACCTCTTCCTTTGGTGATTCGATCCAGAGGTACATGGAGATCCAGAAGCATCTCAGGCATCATCCCAGAAGCTGTTTGGAAAAGGTAAGAATGGAACGCCCACATCTTCCCTCAAGTCAGTGTCTCTGTCCCTGCAGTATTGCCCACCAGGAAATACACTCACAGTGCCCAGCTGGAGGTGATGTGGGGGTGCTACAGGATCCAGGAAGGTTGAGCATACGGTTCGATTTTGCAAGTTTCTCCCAGGAACATGCTCTTCAAGGTGCTCTTCAGTCGATTTCATAAGTGAGGAGAAAACTCCAGAAAGACCACCCAAGACTTGCCTACCTCACCTGGTCAATCCAACAAGAATATGGGGCCTGCACTTGGTGACACCCCAGAGGCTGACCTAGAAACCTATTCAGTGATGCAGAAGGGGAGCTCCACATGCTCCATGAAACAGATCCCCACTCCTTCCAACTAAAGTGTGAAGGGACAACAAGCCTGAGAGCTGGCTTACAGAAGCCGCCCCAGGGCAGCCCCCAAGTGGAGGGGAACGGCCAGATACAAGGCCAGTCCCTAACCAGTGCACAGCCCTAAGTTCCAGCCAGCCAGCCAGCCAGGAAAGTGTACAAAAAAACAAATTCAGTTCCTCACTCTTCTTTCCCCATGGGCTGAGCCGAGCAGCAGGGCAAAGTTAGTCAGGGGTTTATAAAACAGCCTCTCATTTGCCCTGGCAACCAAGCAGGCCTCTCTGGTGGGCATCTCCTCCGTACCAGGGATGATGCCCTGGGGCTCCACGCCAACCCCAGAAAGTCAGATTCAGCTGACAAAAGCAAAACCCCGAGGGCCCTAGGAAGAGGGTGTTCTCCGTGGGTAGATTAGATGGGGGGAAACCGCCCTGATCCAGACCATAAGTCTCTCAGTCAGCAACCATCCCTGGGGACGATCTCCTCTCCGAGGACAACGGGGACCGAATTCCAACAGGTCCCCTGCTCGGGCCTCCCCTGTGCCAGCCTTCCTCCGCTCTGCCCGGAGGCCTCTCAGTCCAGGGCGCGCCGAGCACCTGCTGCCCGCCCGGATCCCGATCTCCGCAGGGGGCAGTGGGGTTCGGGGACCCTCGCCGCGCTCACCTGGCGCAGGTGCTGCAGCAGCGTGCCCGCCTCCTCCCGCCGGCCCTGGCGCACCATCCGCAGCAGCTCCTGGACCATGCCGACGCGCCGCTGGTAGGGGGGCAGCGCCTTGTCCCCGGCGCGCAGCAGCAGCGACGCCCAGAAGTCGGGCCGCTCTCGGCGGGGGCCGGCCGCGGCGCCGGCTCTCTCGGCCAGGCTGCCCTTGGTCTGCCGGGTGCCCATAACGCTGCCGGCCCCGCACGCCTCGTTCCCGCTCGGTCGCCGGCGCCCGCCCGAGGGCCGCAACTTCGGGGGAACTGTTGCGCGCGGGCGGCGGGGGGCGGCGGCGACTCCGCGCGGCTCCCGGCGCGCTCCCGGGCGCGCTCCTCGCTCGCTCCCGCCTGGCCCGCCCCGCCCCGCGCGCTCCCGGGCGCGCTCCCCTCTCGCGCCAGGCCGGCCCGCCCCCGCCGCGCGCTCCCGCCCCGCCCTGCCCCCCGCCCCCCCCGCGCGCTCCCGCCGCACGCTCCAGCACGGCTCCTTCGCGCCTCTCGGTCGCCCCCCCCCCCCCCCCCCCCCCCCCCCCCCCCCCCCGGCCGGGCCCCGCGCCCCGCCGGGTCCCGCAGCCCCCGCCTCATCCCGCCCCTCCCCGCGCCGCGCCCCCTCCGGGCTCCTTCCCGCCGGCCGCCCGCCCCCCGCGCTCTCCCGCCGCCCCTCCCCCCAACTCCTTCCAGCCTCTCGGCCGCAGACCCCCGCGCCGTCCTGCGCCCCCCGCGACGCGCCCCCTGCTGGCCGCCCGATCCACTCAGGGCTCCTTCCCGCCTCGGCGGGGCTGCTGGCCCCCGCCCCCCCTCCGCCCAGCTCGGGCCCCAGCACCCCCTCCCCAGGCCACGGAGACCGCGCGGGGGAGGCCGCGGGGAACGGAGGGAGGGGAAGTTGAGAAGGCGTTGGGCGCTGCGGCCCGGGAAGGGGTCTTCAGCCCCAAAGATGGGTTTCTCGGTGGGGGCCCCGCTTGGCATCTGAGCCCAAGTTGTTAGCGGCGCCAGTTAAACCCAGATCCCCGGGCCCACCCCAGCCCAAGGAATGCGAATCTGAGATGCGGCCGGGATGTGCATTTCTCGCAGTCCTTTTCGGATTCTGACCGCAGGTGGGGTGGGAGAGGGTCGTGGTGGTGGCCGCGTGAACCTGGAAGCCGGGTGCAAAGCTGCGTGCAGTGTTCATGTCCTTTATGGAAACAACCCGACTGTTGCTTCCCGGTCCCTCTCGTCTTTGTTCTCACTCTCTCACCTCTTGGAGAAGGGTCGCGGGGCAACAATTTTGGTACAAAGAAGCAGAGGTAAATTGTGATTAGTTCCAATTTGATCTTCGCACAAACTCCTATTGCTCCTGGGACAGATTACCCCGCCTTCCCCTCCCCCCCCAAAAAAAGGTGCTTGGAAAGTTAATCAGGGTCCAGGCAGACGCTAATACACCAGTCCCACACTGCAGACTACTACTGCAGGAGAACTTGTTCTTGGCCGAGGACTGCCAAGAGGAGGGGAAAGGGGGTTGTGCCCTTGACCGTTGCCAGGCCTTCGGGACAGTGTGGCTGTAGGGCAGGAGAGCCAAATCTTACATGACAGAGGCTTGGGGCCCACCACATATTGAGTGCTGAGCATCTGGCAAGTGTTCTTTCTTCTGTCTTCTGTCAACAGTGGGGGAAAAGAGAGAGAGATAATACAGGTTTTTTTTTTTTAAAAAAAGGATAGTTCCCTTCCCCCCCCTCTTTTCTTTCTTTTTTTTGGTGGGGGGAGGTGGTGTTGGGCCACATCTAGCAAAGTTAATGCATTACTTCTGGTTCTGCACTCAGAAATTACTCCTGGTGGTGCTCAGAGGACCATATGGGATGCCGGACATTGAACCCAGGCTGGCCCCATGCGAAGCAAACGTCCCCCGCTGTTCATTCATGGCTCAGCCCCACAGTTCCTTTTCTTACTCTGTGAATGATCGTAGGTCATCCCTGAATGCATGGAAGGGACATCTGCGTCTCTCCATTTTTTCTTCCCTTTGGCCCTCCCATTCCTAAGTGATCATTTCTGTCCATAGAGAAGAATACTCAGATTTCCTGGCAGCTGTTTTTCAGGATTAGGATGGCTCCTTCCAAACTTCCCTGCACTGTGTATAGAACTTATTAGCATCTTCTAGAAACTAGATTGAGAAACAGCAGGGTCTTGCTTCTCTGATCTCCAGTACTGCCAGGCATGGTGCAGTACTGAGTATTGATGAGGTTACTGACCAGGCCCCTCTTTGGCCCCCTGGAGGCCAGCTACATATTGAGCACACGTGCCATTTGATTGCCCACATTAAGCCGCTTCCTCACTTGGATCTGGAAGTCATCCTTGCACTCATCTTCAGAGGCCTAATTTCTACCCTTTTCTTCCAGCACTTCTCTCTTTCCAGTTTGTTCTCCTAGAGAAATTAAATAATATGATTAAAAAAATCTATTTAGAAAGGAAGTTTTATTTCTCTTTGTTGCCAGTGGAGGTTCCCTGGACCACTTATGCTCTGTTTTGTGTGTGTGTGTGTGTGTGTGTGTGTGTGTGAGAGAGAGAGAGAGAGAGAGAGAGAGAGAGAGAGAGAGAGAGAGAGAGAGAGAAAGTACCCATCTTAGGTAGAGATACAGGCTTCCCCCAGAATTTTCCCAAACTTCCCCCACATGGGGCTTTCTACCTAGTTAAGAGTCTGTTGCTGGGTTTGACTGCCGAGTTGCCAGAAACATGGGGGACATAGGCGGAGGTCTCCCATTCCTCATTCCATTGAATCCAGAGTTCTCAGTCACAAGTCCCACATATCTGGGTTTTCTGCAGATATAACAAGGGCAAGGCTCGGCCCAAGCATATGGAAAGTGGCCTTGAATGTGGCAGTGGCTGAGTTTTGGAGGTTTTTGATTGCCAGGGCTGGGTCCCTTGTGTTGAGGAGGGGCCTCACCCACCTCCCTCCAGTGTACGCCAAAGGAAACAGCCTGGTGTGGGGTCCAGCGTCAAGGCTATGGCGTGTGTCAACCTCTGGTTGGCATAGATAATTTCATCAACAGCACAACCCAGAGATTCATTGTTTTCTCTCAGAGGAGAGCATTAAATGGAGCATGCACATGCTGGGTCCCATCCCAAGGGACCCAACCTCAGCAGCTGAAATCCTTGGACCATGAGATATCTTATTCTTCACACCACTTATATTCCAAGAGTAGTGCACCACATTAGATGAGGTTTAATTTAACAACATACTAGTAGTCTCTTATAGAAGGGCTTAATGGCCCCTAGGTGAAATACAAAAATCTTCACACACTCTCTCCTAAGGAAAGTTCTTTGGAGCATTTTCAGTGGTTTATTCATAATAAACAATACAAAATAAATTATTTTGGTTCTGCTTTGGGGCAGGGGTTAGGGTTCGGGATGGAAACATTTAAAATACGGTGGTGGGGAGGTGTAATGGTGTTGGATTGGTGTTCGAATATTAGTGTAATCAAATATTATGAGCTACCTTATAAAAATAAAGTTTAAAAATAAATTAAATAAGATAAACCAATAAGAATGCACTTCCATTTTTCCCCTTTTCTTTTCTTTTTTAAAAATTTTTATTAGTGAAACACCATGAGGTACAGTTGTAGACTTACAATTTTTGTGCTTGGGTTTCAATTATACAATGATCGAGTACCCATCCCTCCACCAGTGCCCATTTTCCACCACCACTGATCCCAGTATCCCTCCCACCCCCCCATCACTCCCATCCCACCCTGCCTCTTTGGAAGGGTATTCCCTTTTGTTCTCTCTCTCCTTTTGGGTGCTATGGTTTGCAAAAGAGGCATTGAGTGGCAATAATATTCGGTCTATAGTCTACTTTAGGCATGCATCTCCCATCCTGGGAGGATCCTCCCAACACCCTTTATTTGGTGCTCCCTTCTCTATCTGAGTTGCCTTTCCCCCAGCATGTGTGGCTGGCCTCCAAGCCATGGAGTGAACCTCCTGGTACTTATCTCGGCTATTCTTGGGTATTAGTCTCCTATTTTGTTACTTTATGTTCCCCCAGATGAATGCAATCTTTCTATGTCTGCCCCTCTCTTTCTGACTCATTTCGCTGAGCATGATACTTTCCATGTAATACCACTTGTATTTAAATTTCATGACTTCATCTTTTCTAACAGCTGCATAGTACTCCATTGTGTAGATATACCAAAGTTTCTTGAACCAGTTATGTTCTCAGGCACTTAGTTTTTTTCCAGATTCTGACTATTGTAAACAGTGCTGCAATGAACAAATAAGCGCAGATGTCACTTTGACTATGCTTTTTTGCATCTCTAGGATATATTCCCAGGAGTGGTATTGCTGGGTCAAATGGAAGCTCAATTTCTAATATTTTGAGAATCATTCATACTGTTTTCCATAAGGGCTGAACCAGTCGGCATTCCCATCAGCAGTGAAGGAGGGTCCCTTTCTCGCCACATCTGCGCCAACACCGGTTGCTTTTGTTCTTTTGGATGTGGGCCAGTCTCTGTGGTGTGAGATATCTCATTGTTGTTTTGATCTGCATCTCCCTGATGGTTAATGATGTAGAGCGTTTTCTCATGTGCCTTTTTGCCTTTTGGATTTATTTGAGAAAGTTTCTGTTCATTTTGTCGCCCCATTTTCTGATGGGCTTGGATGTTTTCTTCTTGTGGAGTTCAACCAGTACTTCGTATATTCTTGATATAAGCCCCTTGTCGGATGTGTATTGGGCGAATATCCTTTCCCATCCTGTAGACTGTATTTGTATTTTGGACACTGTTTCTTTTGAGGTGCAGAAGCTTCTTAGTTTAAGGTAGTCTCATTTGTCTATCTCTGTTTTCACTTGCTTGGCCAGTGGAGTGACATCTTTGAAGATACCATTAGCTTCAATGTCATGGAGGGTTTTGTCAACTTCGTCGTCAATGTACCTTATGGATTCCGGTCTGATGTTGAAGTCTTGAATCCATTTTGATCTTACTTTTGTACATGGTGTTAGGCAGAGATCTGAGCCTATTTTTTTGCATGTAGCCATCCAGTTTTGCCAGCACAATTTGTTAAAGAGGCTTTCCTTGCTCCACTTCACATTTCTTGCTCCCATATCAAAGATTAGATGATCATATGTTTGGGGGGAGATGTCAATATATTCAACCCTATTTCTTTGCTCTGCAGCTCTGCCTTTGTTCCAGTACCATGCTGTTTTAATTATTACTGCTTTGTAGTAGAGTTTGAGGTTAGGGAGGTTGATTCCTCCCATTTTCTTTTTCCCAAGAATTGCTTTAGCTATTCGTGGGGGTTTATTGTTCCTTATAAATTTCAGGAGTGTTTGCTCCATTTCTTTGAAGAATGTCATAGGCATAGTTATAGGGATTGCATTGAATT